TATATAATAAAAGGCTAATATGCAAATAGACTGAATGGTGGAACAACCAACCAAACAATCGGTCACTATGATGTACACTGACCACCAGGGTACATGTGGAGAACATGGCGGGCATTGGCCGCAGCTGGATAGTGGAGCAAGTGAGCAGGTGCGCCAGACCAAGGCGGGGTGCCAGTCGCTGTCATCGGGGAGAGCCACTGGTGGTTACTGAAATTTCTTTGTTCCCACACACCGCGGTCCAGCTGGGCATTTGCACCCACTGCTAGTGCTGGTCCCGCAGCAGGAGGCAGAGCTGCTGATCACACAGGCTGCTGGTGTCTGGGGATGGTTCCAACCGCTCGGCACCATCAGCGAGTGCAAGCGGCGGCTGCCGGCCCTGATCGCCCCTGAGGGCTTCTGCACCTCCCCCTGCTCCTAAGGGGCAATCAGGGCAGCAGCTGCCGCTCGCACCTGCTGATGGCACCAGCTTGCTGACAGCGCCAGCCTGCTCGCACCCACTACTGGCACCAGCCCCAATAAGTCCGTGCTGTCAGCAGGTGACAGCAGGGCCGGCGCTGTCAGCGCATGGGAGCAGCAGTGGCAGGAGAGGGGCTGCCTGCATTTGGAGACCGGGGCCTTGGCAGGAAGAGCCGGGTGGGGTTGCAGAAGATGGGCCAAGACCCGCCCCTGTGCCTACCATGGCCTTGCGGCCCACAGTTCCTTTCAAGGTTCACCACGAATTCGACTAGGCCCCTAGTATATATATATGTATGTATTTACTGATTTCAGAGAGGGAGAGAGAGAAACGTCATTGATGAGAGAATCACTGATCGGCTGTCTCCTGCACGCCCCCTACTGGGGATTGAGCCCACAACCTGGGCACGTGCCCCCTACCGGAATCAAAGCCAGGACCCTTCGGTCCGCAGGCCAATGCTCTACCCACTGAGCCACACCAGACAGGGCCCACTCTGTCTTGATGACTGTAGCTTTGTAGTAGTGAGTTTTAACATCAGGAACATGAATAACACAACTTTGTTCTTTTGCAAGATTATTTGTCTCTTCTGGGTCCCTTGAATTTCTGTATGAGTTTTAGAATTGGATGCTAATTTCTGCACGAAAGGGCCATTGGAACTTTGATAGGGATTGCATCGAATCTAGATCCATTCGGGGAGTATTGCTATATTAATAACATTACATCTTCCAATCCATTTACATTTATTTGGGTCTCTTTTCCTTTCATTTGGGTCTTCTTAATCTCTTTCCAAAATGTTTCATAGTTTTCAGCAAACCAACCAGCCAGTCTTGTACTTCTCTCGTCAAAGTTATTTCCAAGTGTTTTATTCTTTTTGATGCTATTGCAAATGAAGCTGCTCTCTTCATTTCGTTTTCAGATTTTTCATGGCTACTATGTAGAAATACAATTGATTTTTAACATATTGCTCTTGTATCCTGCAACCTTGCTGGACTCATTAGTTCAAATAACCTTTTTTGTAGATGTCTGAGGATTTTCTGTGTTCAGATCATGTCCTCTCCAAGTAGAGACAGTTCTACTTCTTCCTTTCTTGTCTAATTGCCCTAGTTATAACGTCCAGTACTAATGCATTTTTTAATCTGTAACATCTATTTTTTTAAAAAAAACCAAACAAACAAAACCATTTATTGGTCGAAGCAACTGGGTCGTTTGTATCATGAAAGTGGCCACCTTTTTAATCTAGCTGCTCGGTTGCCATGGTGTGTGTTTCATTGGCCACTCTCTCCTTCCTTGATTGGATTGAGACTGCAATTCAATTAAAAACCGACAGAGCAGTAAAGAATCACACGCCGAAGGCTAATCTCGGAGCCGGATTGAGCCCCAGGGGCTGTCATCTCTGAGCTCTGCTCCAGATAAGGGCTTGGCCCCAGGGGAGTGGGAGGACCAGGATGGGCCCCTCTGCCCAGAGCTGCGTGAGACCAGCCTGGGCTGAGACCCGCTCCCTTTCCCCGGCAGTTGGAGCAGTTCAAGAAGAACAACATGGACACAGGCTTCGGCTCAGCCACGCGGGCCCTGGAGCAGGCCCTGGAGAAGACCAAAGCCAACATCAAGTGGGTGAAGGAGAACAAGGAGGTGGTGCACAAGTGGTTCAAAGACAACAGCAAATAGTCCCCGGTCTGCGCAGTCGCCTGGCCCCCCTGTGAGGTGCCCACGGGCATCTGTCCCAGTGGCCCACCCACCGCAGGACCCCCATTCCCGGACCCCGAGGCCCCACGTCCTCCCTCAGGGACGACGTCCTAGCCCACGTTCTCTCCGCTCTGTCCGTGGAGCCAGTCCAGCTCCTGGCGGCCCGACTGTTCAAGCACCTCCCAGCCCCCGCCCCTCGTGTCAACCGCACCCCAGGCCTGGCATGGCTCCTGTCGCCCAGGGCCCTGGGGCTGATCTCAGGGAAGCCCAGCTCCAGGGCCAGAGCAGCAAAGCCCTATGTGGACTTGGGTCGGCCTTGGGGAGCTGCCTGCGCCCTCTCTCACCTTCCCATGAAGACCCTGAACCTGGAGACTCCACAGAACACCAGATCTGTATATTTTTTTTCTAAGAGAAAATATAGATAAAGGATTTCTAGATGAGCTTCCAGACTCATGACTTCCAGACTCAGAACAGGAGGGGTCCACACAGCAGCTGGGGAGCCTGGGG